TTGGCAGCTGGGGACTACTGTGACATCAGGTGCCCGTGCAGAACAAGCAGGGATGAGCCTCATGGCTGTGATATGAATGAGGCTCATTGCCTCAGATGTTTCACAAGGAGAGGAAATCCTGAGGGATTTGGTACAGCAGTGAGAGGATTAAAGGACCAGAGCAGAGTGGTGGTGCTGCTTTCCCTGGGCAGGCAGTGGGGTCTGAAGGAGGTGGCTGACAGGAAATTGTCCCTCGCTGTGTGACTACACCCCACTGGAAGCAGTTCACCTTCCTTCCTCTAGCACCTGCCCCAGACAAGCTGCGGGCAGAAAGAGTCAATAGTAAGGATTGTACTTTCCAGTTGAGCAGTGTTTGGATTTTTTCCCCCCATGAGTAGTTTTTACTTGACTGACATTGAATCCAGAGAGCATTTTCTGAGCTTCTCAGGGTGGTGCAGTTCTGCTTTGGCTCTCTCTCAGAACCTCTGTATCTTTTTTTCTTCTTTCATGGTGGGATTGGTTGCAGTCAAGACTATTGACTTATTGAGAGATCATGGCTTCTGGGAGATTTATTTTTTTTTTACTTTTAAAAGACACTGCAAGTTCAAATTGATCTCCAGTACCCTATTTCTTCCCCAGCTATAACCTTTTATTTTAGCTGAGCAGATGCACTGAGCCATGTGCTCGCTGTGAATTTGAAATCCTGGTGTTTAAAACCAAAAAACCCATCATGAAACCCATGAATTCTGTAAGGATAAATCCTGGTAAATGAAACCAAAACATAAAAATTTCCACCCTGTCCCAGCTGTAGAAGTCATGCTGCATTTTGCTGTAATATATATTTAAATAATTGAGTTAGCAGGCCTATCAAAGGAGATGTTCTAGAGAAGATTGAATATAATATGATTATTATGTCTGTTGGTCTCTAATGACTTTAAAATCCCTCTAATAAGGATAGTAATAATAAATCTTCATTTATTCATCATTCCACTTCAAAGCTGATTTCCAGGGCAATACATAAGAACTATAATATGTAAATACCAATGAAGAACAAAATGCCATGATAGAGCCTTGGGCATTGTTGATTTCAGCATATGTTTTAATAATATCTCTTGTAGATAGATTTTATTTGTGCCTTTATAAAAAATTATGGGATGTTCCTTTGAGGAGGAGGTTATTGAAGTAATTCTTTCTGTAAGAAAGTAAGTGGTAATGTGATTTGGGGAAAAAAAAAAACAAACATTCTAGAATGTGTTCATTAGTCTGAGAGGCTGAATCCAGATGTTTCCATGGAGCTCCTGGGTGCTTTGCAAAAAGGGGAGTTAACATGTCAGGTCAGAATTTTCTGACAAAATGGGAATATCGTGGTGGGATTTCTGTTACTAAGAGCAACCCCAGTTGCTAAATCTGTCTAAATAAGGCTGAACGCAAAGCACAATAGTTTATAAACCAGTTTATCTCAGAACAGCTGGGAGAAGGCTAGGAAAGGAAATCTTCAGCAGTAAAGTATTGTAATGAGATTGAAAAATTGATAAATGCACGAGGGCAGGCTGGATGTGGCTTGGAGCAAGCTGGGATAGTGGGAGGTGTCCCTGCCCGTGGCAGGGCTCTGAGAGATGGGCTCTAAGGTCCCTCCCAACCCAATCCCAATCCTTCTGGAATTCTGTGATAGTGTCTGATTGCTTCACAAACCCTAGGGCAGTTTTCTTTCTCACGTTGATGTTTTCTTTCTTCCTGTGTGTTTTATGGGATTGTCTCCTTTCTGTTCATCCCTGTTTTGTGACAGATATTTCCTTCCTTGTCTCATTCAAAGACAGCAGAACCCTGACTTAGTTTGAAGTAAATGTCAAATTGCTAAAGTAATTGAAACCCTTAAAATATGTCCACTCTATGCAGAAGAAGAATAACAAGGGGGAATTTGGACTGTGATTTACCTTTCCTAAATAACAATTGTCATCTCCAAAAATGGTGTGTCCAGACCTTTGTAGAGGTTGGTTTGCCTTGAAGACTCTTTCCTTAACAGGCCAGAAGTATCATCTTAGTGAAAACTTCAGTCTTGGGGTGTTGCTCAGGACAATTCAAAATATATATCTAGGCCTAGCAAGGCTGTTCAGATGTCCTTAATTAAAAGGAGGTAACTTCTAAAGTCATCTTGTTCTGGTACACAAAATGCCGGAGGTCATCTGGCCACTTGAAGTGGGGAAGTCTTCAGTTAAAATTTTCAGTCAGAAAAATATCTGAGAAGTGTTTTCAGTGAATAACACCTTCCTAATGTTACAGCATTTTAACCCCTCTCCCTTAATTGTCAGGGGAAAAATAAAAATCTAAAATTGAAAATAAGAATTTCTTTCTT